GTGGTGTGGGTAGTATCGACAGGAGGTTCCATATTGGGCTTTCTGGCTGGAATGTTCAACAGCCTAACAGACTTCTATCTCCAGGCTCACTCTTACAGTCACTAATGATCACCGACATTATTGATTACTATTTTACATGTACTTTCCAAATTCAAACAATGTTCTTACAATGAACTTTTAATAAGGTGAAAGAAATATCTATTATTAAAACTCTGTTTGCCATTGTACTTTAGCTGTTGAATCCTAGAGGGCTATAAAGTATAATAAACACTGTTTCAAAAAGTGAATTGGAAGCCATGAAATTTAGCATTTATATCCTTGAAGGTCCTGTCTCTCTAAAGGTTCAAGTTGATGAACATAAAGCTTTACTAAGGTCATGCACTGTACTCAGAGATGAAAAGTCCTGCTTAATGGAAAGTATGGAAAACCTAATGGGCACTCCTCTGATTCTTTCATTCATTCAACAAATATGTGTTGATTACCTACTACGTGCCAATGGTCTCTGAGAGACCGTTGTGATAGATCAGGGAGGTAGGTGTATCAATACTGGGGGTGGGGAGAGAGACATAGGTAAGCAGTACCCTGTCAATAAAATTCTTGTATATTTTCTCACTTTTTACAGATATGAATAATTTTATGCAATTATTAAAATAAATTGTAAAGAAGACAAACTTGTCTTCCATCAAGTTAAATCTCTTAAAAGAGCTAATAGTAAATTGCGTTTTCCCTAATGTAAATTTTTATATGCCGTATGTTGGTTAGAAGGCCTAAAACTACAGAGAGCAATCACCAGATTTCTAATACCAGAAGTGTAATGTTGGCAAGTATATCTTCTGAAAAGTACCAAATACAAGAAGCAAAAAAACTAAATCCACACTTTTTATTTTAAAACCTTATACTTTTTGGGGCGCCTGGGTGGCGCAGTCGGTTAAGCGTCCGACTTCAGCCAGGTCACGATCTCGCGGTCCGGGAGTTCGAGCCCCGCGTCAGGCTCTGGGCTGATGGCTCAGAGCCTGGAGCCTGTTTCCGATTCTGTGTCTCCCTCTCTCTCTGCCCCTCCCCCGTTCATGCTCTGTCTCTCTCTGTCCCAAAAATAAATAAACGTTGAAAAAAATAATTTAAAAAAAAAAATAATAAAAAAAAAATAAAACCTTATACTTTTACATTTGATATGCAGTGTTAGTTTTGACCACATGTTTTCATCGGGCTAATATTGTAAGTAATGGAAAATAACATGTCAATATTTTTTCTTAAAGTTCTTTGATTACAGCCTTTGAAAATAATACTGGAAGCCACCACTTTTTCTTTTTCTTTTTTTTCTTTCTTTCTTTCTTTCTTTCTTTCTTTCTTTCTTTCTTTCTTTTTGCCAGGGAATTTGTGTGGAGTCTTTGATTTTAGCTAGTGATACCTTCAGAATTGTTTTCTGGGATGAGTTTCCTTATGCCCTCAAATTACCGAAAGAGGAAGGGCCACCTCCTCATATCCTAAGCATCAGATTCCCCAGGATGGATTTATGGACATATTCGCTGGAGGAAAAAAAAATAATATAAAACACTGTAGAACACTTGTCAGTTTATGAAGAACACATTGTCCCTCTTTCTCTCCAGAACACACTTGCAAGGCAACAATCGCTATTATTCCTCTTTGACTCAGACCCAAGACCATAAAGCCTGTAATTAAACTGTATCAAATACTTCTATAAACCAGTTTCCTCGGCTTTTAAGATTCTTCTCTTTGTTACACAGTCTGCTACTGTTGTGTTTTTCAAAAATTAGAATGATAGGAGTGATTTTGTTTCATCTTTATCTCCTGATGCACAACTTGAAATGAGGATGCTACGGCCCCTCTCTGACGTGAAAAGTAGAATCGGATACATTGGGAAATAAAAAAGAAAAATGTATTATTTCTGCTACAAGCCCAACTTTAGAAAGAGTTGGGAAGGAGGGTGGGTGGAGAAACAAAGAGTTTAACAGCTCAGGAAATGGGTTGATAGAAGTAAGATAGTTGACACATTCCGCTAAAAATGAAACACTGTAAAAATGTTTCCCACACACTTAATCTGGTTTCACCTGTTATGCTGTCAGTGAAACAGAAGTCATGAAGTCAAAATCTCAGTACCATATTATTCATAAGGAGAAAGGAAAATCATGCAGATTTGGAAGTTGGTGGTAGGCAATTAGGCATTACTTCTTGGCTTAAACTAATTGAAACAATCAGATCTAAGACTGGTTGGGGAAGGATCTTGGCCTCTCCTCATGAGCCTACCCATACAATTGCTGAACTACTGAAAATAATATATTTTTATTTGTTCTACAACTTGTCATTCTCCTTAGCTTCCACATCTTTCCACTAAAATAGCCATAAGTAACCCAGAAATCATGTGGTCAGATTGTCACCAAAGAGGAAGGAGAGTAGTTCTCCCTTAGGTCACATGCATGATCTCTCAGAACAACCCAGAAAAGCAATGATTTTTAAGTCAATAACTTTAATTCTTTCCATTTTATTGTTTTCATTAATGCTTTAAGCAAAACATTTGTCAATAGTCTAATGTTTGGGGCATCTGGGTGGCTCAGTCAGTTGAGCATCTCGGCTCAAATTATGATCTCTCAGTCCGTGAGTTCAAGACCCATGTCAGGCTCTGTGCTGACAGCTCAGAGCCTGGAGCCTGCTTCAGATTCTGTGTCCCTCTGTCTCTGCCCCTCCTCCATTTTCTCTCTCTCTCTCTTTCTCTCAAAAATAAACATTAAAAAATTTTAAGTCTTTTAATAAAAATTTTCATTAATAAAAATTTTCATACTCATTAACCAAAGAATGTGATACTTTGTCTTCTAAATAACTGCTACTAAAATATTTTAATACATTCTTTAAAAAATATGTAAAGATTTTGCTGAGTTTTAAAACCATAAAAGATTAGTCTTTTCATATGAATTAATCTTTAAGCCTTTGATTATCCACGCCATCATGTCACAAACCCTACTTTCAATGTCCTTTAAGAATGTGGTTCATGCTGGCTTATAGAAATCAAGAGTTACAATTTTGAAACTCAGTTTGTCAAACCACTGTGAGACTTACTGTAAGAAAGCGAGTAATGGCACGTTTGGCTATTCCCCCCTGTCATTTTCAGAGAAATTGAATGTTAGGCAAAATACCCAGTGCAAGCCCTATGAATGGTAAAATGACTTCAAATGGAAAAAAAAAAAATCTTAGCATATTCTGCTTGAAAAATAAGTTTTCAAAGCATTTGGAACTGGAGGCTTAGTTTTGTCTTTCAATTTTCTGGTATTAAATCCCTTGTAAACTATGTGCTTATATTTAGCATATATTTATATGCCTATTTATATGTTTTCAAAGAAATATGTGTTTTAAACACTTTTTTTAAGATTTTTTTTCTGGTTGTGAAATGTTTTATTTTTTTTTTAAGCTGTTATTTTACTTCCAATTAGTTCACACGGTGTAAGATTTTATTTTTAAATAATCTCTACACCCAGTGTGGGGCTCGACCTTACAGCCCTGATACCAAGAGTCACATGCTCTACTGACTGAGCCAGCCAGGCACCTCTAACAAACTTTTTTTAAACAAAGGTAACAATTACAAACTGCAGGAGAATGGTAGTAAATTATACAGTTCACTCTTCTTTTTGACATCTATAGGATAGGGGCGCCTGGGTGGCTTGGTCGGTTAAGTGTCCGACTTCAGCCAGGTCATGATCTCGCGGTCCGTGAGTTCGAGCCCCGCGTCGGGCTCTGTGCTGACAGCTCAGAGCCTGGAGCCTGTTTCGGATTCTGTGTCTCCCTCTCTCTCTGCCCCTCCCCTGTTCATGCTCTGTCTCTCTCTGTCTCAAAAATAAATAAACATTAAAAAAAAAAAAGAAAAGCAATCTATAGGATAATGTACAAATTATTCAGGGGGGGAAATCTATAGGATAATGTACAAATTATTCAGGGGGGAAGTTTCAAGAAAGTGACAGAAGGACATTAGTAATACTGCATGTAAGAGAAGAGTAACCACCACCTAAATATTTCATAAGCAGGGAAAATGGTGGAAGGCCAAATGGAAAGAAGTCAAAACTGGTGTGATCTCGGAGCAAGACAGGAAACAGGAGGTGAGACCAAAGAAGAAAGGAGAGAAAATGAAGAGGAGAAAGAGGAAGACCCATATACATTTGCTGAGATTGAAGACAGTGATTATGACATGATATTGGCCAATATGAGTACAAAGAAAAAAAATGGGAGTTGGTCTTTTATAATAAACAGACCTCCTGCCCCTACACCTCGACCCACAAATATCCCTCCAAAAGAGGAAACCACACCTTACATAGCTCAAGGTAAAGTTTTTTGTTGTTTGTGTGTGTGTGTGTGTGTGAATGATTTGAGGGTGGGAGGAGGTGTCCTGTTTTTTGGTGGAGTCAAAAACCCCATGGATGAAATATTCTTTTCAAGTCATAGGTGAATTTTACTGGCACATTTTTAAATATAGAAACACAATGAATAAAGAGAATAAGAATAACGATAGGGTTCTGGTTTCTAGTTCTTCATTAAGAAGAATAGTTTTGACAGATTACCCAAAGACATGAAACCACAGCTTATGTGCAGAAATTCTATTTGAAACTTTTTCTATAATTCTACAAGAGGAAAGCTCCCCTCCTATGAATAATGTGCAATACACGAAAAAGAGGGAAGTACTTCTTACCACAACTTTACTTTTTGCTCCTAATTCCACTGAAAACAACTTTAAAAACTGAAAAAGTTGTGAATACTAGAATCTCAGATATGCAACTCCAATTACTCTCTTAATTTTTTACCCCAACTATCTGCCGTAGAATTTCTACTGCATTTTAGACTCCAATTCTTCTTCCTCATTTTCTACTGAGTTGAATCTAAATTAAAAAAAAAAAAACTAAAAAATTGTTGAGCTTTTGTATATCTATAGCCTCAGCAAAGTATACTCTATTGTTATTTTCCAGCACTCTTCTATAATGTTTGGTTGGATGTACTCCATGAATCCATAGTGTCTGCGAGATGACTTTTATTTATCAGCTCATTGTATGCACATGGACTGGAGTGCCTTTTGGGGCTAAAATACCATCCTAGGGACTGAGAAAATGGCATAAAACAATTTCTTCATCCTTGAAGAGTCCCTAAGTGGCAGATATGCAAATACATACCTAGAGTACAATGTGACACTTTATTACAGATTTTTGAACAGAATGGAACACAAACAAAATGTTTGAGGGATAACTAAAGCTGAGAAGCAATAAATTATATATTCAAACAATTCGAACCAAGTACTCCAACAGAACATTTAAATATATACCACAAACCTACAGAAAAGAAGCACAAGTGCACAAGTGATCTAAGTGCATTAAAGCAATTTTGCACACCCTACTAAAAATTACAGGTTGCACGTTTTGGTTTAACTAGTCTTCCCTTGGGAAGAAAGATGATTTAAGTGCCTAGATCACCACAGTTCCTTTCCATTATTTCTTCCTTTCCTCTTTCACTGAGACACACTTGCTTGCCTCTTCCTTTTATGCTATTGATTGTTGATCATTCTGTTCCCACGTTAGGAAAACATTGCCTCATCAGCTAATTCTTTCTTGATGTTCTTTGCATTTCACAGGGTAAGAGTCTTTCATCACATCTTTGCTTTTTTTTTTTTTTTTTTTTTTTTCTATAGCTCAGGCAGCTCTATTAAATAAAATTGCCATCATTTCCCAGAAAGCCACCCATTCAATTAGAAGAACATTAATTTGCCCCAATTCTTGCCAGAGCACAGAAGTAGTAGCAGAATGTTGGCACATACAGAGTGTGTTAACATAGCCAAAGAGAAGAGTGTAGAATAGGAGATGGAAGAAGAATTCAGGATGCACAATCCCAACTTACTATTTCAGAAATTCAAGAAAGTACTAGCAAGGAAACTAGGCAGATAAACCAGAGAGATACAGTAAAATTATGTTGGCTTTTGTGAGATAATAGAAAATATGTATGTTTATGTCCACCCCCCAATTCCTGGCACAGGACTCCTAAAACCTTGTAATTTCCTCAAGTTATTTCCTGGATGGCAGGAGTGTTTTTTGCTCTAATGAGGAAACCCTGAATGGGCTCCTGGATGAGGGCTAGGCATTAAATACACCAAGTCATGATTAGCAGCAAGGAATCTTCAGCCCCAGTCCCCCATTTTCTGGAGAAGGGCGAAGGGCTGAAAATCGACTTCTTGATCAATTGTGCCTATGTGACGAAGTCTCCATAAAATCCTACTAGTAGGAGATTCCCAGAGACTCCATTCCCAGAAATCCACACAGGAAGGGTGATACATCCCTACTTGATGGGAACAGAAGCTCCTACACTTGGGACCCTCCCAGACTTTGCCCTATGGATTTTTTCATCTAGCTATTCACCTGTACCCTTTATCATATCCTTTAATATATTGGAAAATGTAAGTAAATGTTTTTATGAAGTCTGTGAGCCACCCTAACAAATTAATTGAACCTGAAGAGGGAATCATGGGAATCTCCAATCTGTAGCCAAATTAGACAGAAGCTATGGATAACCTAGGAATCTACTACTAATGATTGGCATCTGAAGTAGAGTAGAAGCAGTCTTGTGGAACTGAGCCCTCATACTGTGAGATCTGACACTATCACCAGGTAGATAGTATCAGAATTGAGTTAAATTGTAGGACACTCAACTGGTGTCATAAATTGCTTGATGGGGGAAAAACTCCGCATGTTTGGTGACCATAAATGAAGTTGAGTGTTATGAGTGTGGCAGAAGTGTGAAAGAAAAGGAGACACACATAAAAGACACAGGAGGAAAACTGAGTTTCCCCATTACACCTTTGCAGAAAGTATTGAGATTCAGCCGATATTATCTAAACAAATAATGTCATATATCTGAGATTCAATTTCCTCATTGTAAGTTTGGGGTAAAAATAATATCTACCTCAAAGATTTTTGTAATCTTTAAGGGAGATAAAATTAACAATAATTACCTAGAACAATATTTGGTATGTGACATACACTCAATAGATCATAATTAAAAGCAATTCTACTTTGTCTTTCCTCAGTTTCTGGGCAGACAATGACTTTGATAAACTAACTTTAAATTATAGGAAAAGTGTGTGCTTCCTGGATTCTGGTAGAATCAGAGGGTAAGAAAGCTATTAGAGCCAGAGAAGGGGGCTGAGGGGAGTTATCCTGTCCTCTAAAGGGATAAATTGGCTCAGTCTACTCATTATAACAATTACTGTTAGACAACCTTCATGATAATTTCTAATTCACAGGACAATCCTACATGGTTGGCATTAATAGCCTCATTTTTTTTTTCAACGTTTATTTATTTTTGGGACAGAGAGAGACAGAGCATGAACGGGGGAGGGGCAGAGAGAGAGGGAGACACAGAATCGGAAACAGGCTCCAGGCTCCGAGCCATCAGCCCAGAGCCCGACGCGGGGCTCGAACTCACGGACCGCGAGATCGTGACCTGGCTGAAGTCGGACGCTTAACCGACTGCGCCACCCAGGCGCCCCTAATAGCCTCATTTTATAGATGACAAAACTGATGTTTGGTGAGTTCCAGTGTCTTGCCCATGATAATAAAATTAGGAAGAAGAAGATGTAGGATTTGGACCTAAATCAGCCTGGTCCCCATGCCTGTTCACAGGACACCACAAATTTCCTTTACTGATCTATTTATTTCTGGATTATTTGTTAATATTTATTTCCTCCTTCTGACCCATAAGATCCAAGAAGAAAGACCAATCTTTTCTGGTTTTGCCCATCCTTGTATCTTTGGTGCCAAGCTTAGTGCTGAATTCACAGTAGAAACTATGAACAATTGATGAATATTAATATAAAAACAAAGATGAATAAATGATAAAAGTGACCAAAACCACATCAGTGTGGTTCATTAGGACACTTTACTAACACTCTGAAGGATGGTCAGAATAATATATCAATCTACTAATTCCAGAATTTCTCGTTTTAAACCATCTTATGGTTTGTTTTTTGTTTTGTTTTGTTTGCTTTAGTGTAGTGGACACTCAAGGCTATGTTAGTTTCAGGTGTACAACATAGTGATTCAGCTTCTTTATACATTATGTTGTGTTCACCATTTGTCACGATGCAGTGCTATTACAATACCATTGACTGTACTCCCCATGCTGTGTCTTTCGTCCCCATGACTTATTCATCCATAACTGGAAGCTGTTCTCTCCCTCTCCCCTTCACCCATTTTGCCCCTCCCCACACACCTCCTCCCTCTGGCAACCATCAGTTTGTTCTCTGTGTTTATAGGTCTGATTCTGCTTTTTGTTTGTTTGTTTACTCATTTTTTTTAGATTCCACATATGAATGAAATCATACTATATTTGTCTTGACAGTTGAACCATCCTATGTTTGAAATACTATGGCTATGAAGTTCTCCTATTTAGAACTAAGCATTCTAACCGCTTCACACAGCATAACGTGTCAGAGAGAAGCTCTATTTCAACCATCACCACCGTCTCCTGCCCCTGGAAATGTAACTTATTAATGCAAAACCGAACCCGTGGTTCATTTTATTAAGAGATATGTTTCTGATTTTTTCCATTCCATGACTGTTATACTAAACCTACTTTGTGTGAACAACCACAAAAAGACTAACTCATTTTTCTTAAATGAAAAGTTTTTGAAATCTGTGTGCTCAGATCTGCGTTCTCTCCATCTTTTTCTCCACATAATATGGCAGAGGATCAGGTTCATTAAGCTTCGAGAATATGGAGGAATTAATATGGATTCACAGTCCTCCTTAATGACAGAATTCTTGATTTAAGACTAATCAAGGAAAGAAAATGAACGCTGTGCATAGTGTATATAGATTGGTAGGAAAACTATATCTATAAATCATGCAAAAAGATGACTGCCTATTGGGGAAAATTTTTCAACATCAATGCACAATTTCCCATTTTCCCATCACACAGTTCATAGAACCAAGATCCTTCTTCAGAGTCTATGCTGCTGATTTGGGGTAGAATGTAATTTCCCTTTCAATTTTCAATTGCCACTGAGTTGCCCTTGGCATTTTGCAGAGCAACAAAGTTGTATATGACCTTTTTGAGAGCTACTCAGCTACTGGGACCCCAAAATGTCAAGTGCAACTCAGTTGCTCTCAGAAATTTTCCACTTGGCAATTCATTTGTACTTGAAATTGATCACATACAATGTAATTGAAATGCAAACAGAAAAAAAAGACCTTGTAGACTCTCTTAGGAAAATTAATCCATATCATTCATTGTGTATGTGAGAGAACAGAATGGTCTCTGTTCTCATTAGTGAAGAAATGTGGTC